CCCGGGCCTCGGCCCAGCGCCGGCTTCCGCCTCCCGACTCACGTTTCTGTGTCCGCCGGCCCGCGGACACCAACCGGCCCGCCCTTTCCGCGGCGTTCCTTGCGCACCGCGCAGCCGTAGGGCCGGCCGGTTGCCGGTCCGTGGCCGCGGCAACGCGCCCGACGACGGAGCGCCGCGAGAGACACCCGCCTCGGGCGCGATACGGACGCGCGAAGGAGGAAAGGAGGCTGCAGTGTTCTCGGGCGCCCCCTCGTGGCTGGCGGGAGAGCAAAACAAACGTCGCTAGACCTTGAACTAGGGAATGACGGAGGAAAAGAATCCATCCATTCACTACGCAAAGTTCAGGACGGTGGTTACCTGGGAGATGGGGGGGCGGGGCTCGGAATCGAGGAGGATATGAAGGAGGAGGAGAACACAGACCGTGGTTCTCAAAGACGCAGAGGCTGAGATCCACTGGCTTATATTCTCCTCCTGGCTGCACTTGAGAGGCCTCTGGGAGCTCTTAGAAATCCGGATGCCGACATGGCTCGGTGGCTCAGCCAGTAATCCCGCGCTTTGGGAGGCCGAGGTGAGTGAATTGCCTGCTCCCGCGGGTTCGAGACCCGCCCGAGCAACGTGGTGAGACCTCACCTCTACAATAAATCAAAAAAATTAGCCGGGCGTGGTAGCGCGCGCCTGTAGTTCTGGCTATTTGGAAGGCTGAGGCGGAAGGATCGCTGGAGCCCAGCAAGTCGAGGCTGCAGTGGCCGGGAGCGGCCACTGCACTCCAGTCTGGGTGACACAGTGAGACATCAACTCAAAAAAAAAAAAAAAAAGATACAGAGGCTGAGAACCACTGGTTTATATTCTTCTCCTGGCTGCACTTGAGAAGCCTCTGGGAGCTCTTAGAAATCCGGATACCGGCTGGGCGCGGTGGTGCAAGCGTGTCATCCCAGCGCTTTGGGAGACCGAGGTGAGGGGAGTGCCTGAACCCGCGGGTTCGAGACCAGCCCCGGGCAACTCGGCGAGACCTCGTCTCCACAATAAATCAAAAATTAGCCGGGCGAGGTAGTGCATGCCTGTAGTTCCAGCTGCTGGGAAGGCTGAGGCGGAAGGATCATTCTGGGGTGGCCGTGGGCTGCCACTGCCCTCCAGCCTGGGCAACGGTGTGAGACTCCCACTTAAAAAAAAAAAAACAAAAAAAACAGATGCCCAGACCAAACCCCAGAAAAATCCCATTAGGCTCCCTAAGCATATCAGTGTTTGTCAGAGTTCCCTGGGTGGGTGCCTTCCTTATGCAGCCTACGCAAAGAACCACCGGTGTTTGTAGATTCAAGTCATTGGTAACATTCTCCTGTAGTCTCATATTGGTGGTGGGTTCAAGGATGTTCATTCCTTTAGTGTGTTTTGTAATTCACATGTGCTACATGTGTGATGCATCAACGATTCCACAATAAAGAAAATATACACCTGGAGGCTCGTGCCTGTCATCCCAGCACTTTGGGAGGGTGAGGTGGGAAGATTACTTGAGCCCAGAAGCTCAAGACCAGCCTAGGGAACGTTGCAAGACCTCGTCTCCACAAAAAATCAAAAAATTAGTTGGGTGTGCTGGCACATGCCTGTAGTCCCAGCTACTCAGGAGGCTGAGGAGGGAGGATCCCCTGAGTCCAGGAGGCTGAGGCTGCGGTGGGCCATGATCATGCTACTGTACTCCATTCTGAGTGACAGAGTGAGACTCCGACTCCAAAAGATAAAAGCAAAGACTTCACAATATGAAATACTCAGTGACAGGACCACAGGGGGCTGAGAGGGGAAGTACTGGCAAGGAATCGCCAGGTTGGAGGCCGCTCTTAGACTTCTGTCTTTGGGAGAAGAAAACAGGAATGGCGGGGATGACGACATGACAGTAATGCTCCATTCACTGAAACATGGCAGTGCTGGGGGCCACGAGATGCCCTCACTTAATTAGCAGGTGGCATTACCAATGCATGTTTACCTACACTGATTTTTCATGACATTTCAATATCAACCACTCCAGCTTCTCCTGTCACATACCCCACCCTCCCTGCAGACAAGGATGCAAGAGACAGGTGTGCTCAAAGACACTGGAGCTGCTGGGCTGCCTCTCAGAGCCCAGTTTTGTGGTTTAATAGTAATAACAACAAGAATTTGGGTGGGAGGGTTGAGGTCTTACTCTGTCGTTCAGGCTACAGTGCAGTGGCACGATCACAGCTCACTCAGTCTTGACCTCCTGGGCTCAGGACATCCTTCCACCTCAGCCTCCCGAGTAGCTGGGAGCACAAGTAATGTGCCACCACACCTGACTAATTTTTTGATTTATTGTAGAGATGAAATCTTGCTATGTTGCCCAGGCAGGTCTTGGACTCATGGGCTTAAGCAATCCTCCTGCCTCGGCCTCACAAAGTGCTGGGATTACAGGTGTGAACCACCACATCCAGCCCAGCAATAAGAATATTAATGCATGTAGTTATCTGTGAGAAAAAATTACATATAGAAGGCACTCACTAAAAACAGTGGGTATCATCACTAGCAGGCAGAATAGAGATGATTTTTGTTTTTATTTCTGAGGTTTTAGTTTTCTAATGATCACTGTCACTTGCATAATTTTTTAAAAAATAAGACATTAGGCCAGGTGTGGTGGCTCATGCCTATAATCCCAGCACCTTGAGAGGTCAAGGTGAGAGGATTGCCTGAGCCCACGAGTTCGAGACCAGCCTGGGCAACTTGGCGAGACCTCATCTCTACAATAAATCAAAAAGTTAGCCGGGCATGATGGCGCATGCCTGTAGTTCTAGCTACTTGGAAGGCTGAGGCGGAAGGATCACCTGAGCCCAGCAGGTCAAGGCTGCAGTGGCCGTGAACGTGTCTCTGCACTCCAGCCAGGGCAATAGAGTGAGACTCCAACTAAAATAAATAAATAAATAAGTAAAGACATTGGTTTGTTAATCGTAACAACCTTCATTTCCATCATACTTTACACTTTACAAGGTGCCTTCACTGCATGAGTGGCTCTCAACTGCAACTGCAGGTCAGAATCACCTTTTTTTAAAATCCTGCTGCTTGATCGGATTAGATGTTCTGACTTAATTGGAGAAGGACAGGGCTGGGCATCTTTATTTTTAAATGAACTTGTTGTTTCAGAATAGTTTTAGACTTACAGACAAATTGCAAAGAGAGTACAGAGCATTTTCACACACTCTACCCCAGTTTTCCCTGTTATTAATGTCTTACATACACTGTTATTAATGTCCTCCCATAGGACAAGTCTGATATGGGTCCCATGGGGTGAATGTCAAGGTATCAGCAGGGCTGCATTCCTTTCTGGAGGGTCTGGGGAAAGTGGGTTTCTTTGCCTTTCCTGGCTTCTGGAAGCTGACATGCTCCTCAGCTTGTGGCCCCTTCCTCCATCTTCAAAGCCAGCAACATAGCACCTATCTCCAACTCTTCTTCAATAATTGCATCTCCCTTTGACCACACCTAGGAAAGATTCTCCACTTTTGAGTTGGGAGTCTCACTCTGTCACATGCAGTGGCACGATCATGGCTTACTGCAGCCTCAATCCCCTGGGCTCAGGTGATCCTTCTGCCCCAGCCTCCTGAGTAGCTGGGGCCACAGGTGTGCACCACCATGCTCACTATATTGCCAAGACCGGTCTAGAACTCCTGGGCTCAGGCGATCCTCCCACCTTAGCCTCCCAAAGTGCCTGAATTATGGGTGTGAGATACCGCACCCAGCCCAGTTCTCCAGTTTTAAGGATTCATGTGCCCACCTGGATAATTAAGGAAAACCTTCC